AAAACTTTAGATCATGAAGAATAGTTACTTTTTTGGTCATTGTTAAAATGTCACCATTGCCATTACCATTTAAAATGTTTTGGCTAACTTCCTGTCGCGATTAGCTCTCAATTGTTTTTCCCTCTGTAACTTGATTGCTAACAAGCTAAAAATTAGGAGGAAGAGTTGCAGCCTGCCATTTTTTTGTTTACGTGAACTTGCAGTAATATCTTTAGTCTCTTTTTCTTTGAGGGAATCTTTTGGAACAACGTGTCCATATCGTGAGGGTTGATTTAAGAGGACAGCATGGGGTGATCCGCAAATCCACATAGGCAGCCACTCCCATGCTTCAGGATGTCACATTACACTGATGGAACCAGTGGTCCCTGTCAGGGCTTCCCTGGGGGACTCCCACTCTTCCTTTAGGATGTGTCTCTTACACCTGAGACCAGCTGTCATGGGAGCTGAATGAAGGCCCAGGGTCAATCTCCATTTGCACGTTTAATTTTTAAGATTAGAAATATTAATGTAGTTGTTTTCTTTCTGCCCTTCCACTGCACTTTGGAGATCTCTGCTGTAAATAATAGTAGTGGGTTATTTTAGAGGGTGGAAGGACATAGCAACAGCAAGGCAGGGACTCCAGGTGAGCAGAATGATATGGTGGCGTTACCCTACTGTCTTGGCTGTCCTCTTGCAGACTTACCGTGAGCCAGTGTCGGACTACCAGGTCCTGCGGGAGAAGGCTGCATCCCAGAGGCGCGATGTGGAGCGGGCACTCACCCGTTTCATGGCCAAGACAGGAGAGACCCAGAGTCTTTTCAAAGATGATGTCAGCACATTTCCATGTGAGAGTTGCCCCGCTCTGTGGACCCTGTCTTGTCATTTGAGATAATCCCACCATCTTCCTTTCTTTCAGCATGGGAGAAAGAAATGAATATACTTTTGTCTTTCTCTTGGGTATACCTTGTTCCTTAGATTTCTGGCTCCTTTTGCCAGGTCTAAAGAGCCTGTCCCTAACTGATGATTCTAAAACAGTAATGGCCTCTGTTGGGATTGGCCACCTGAGGTTACCTTGAGAGTAGCTGGGTCCTAGGCATCAGAGAGGCTGATACAGAAGTGGCGGCCCAGGTAGGAGAAGGAGCACTGGTGCCAGTGGCCCATCATGATGTCCTTCCAGAGGTCCCATCTCACTTAACTTTGCATCTGAGAACTGTTATATTTGGGCATGTTGACCAAGCTACTTCGTCTCCATAGGCCGCAGTTTCTACAAAGGTGAATGAGGGAGATTGGTTTGGTTGATTCGTTCATTCAGCAAGCTCCTGCTAAATGCCTGCTATGTTCCTGGCTCTGAAATAACAGCAGCTACCAGTTATTAAGTGCCAGGCACTGTGCTAATCACTTCCCATCCATCATCTCATTAAATCCTCTTGTGAGTCTCCAAGTTAGGAACTGTTATTGTCACCACCTTCATAGGAAGCTGAGGCTCATAGAGAAGAGAAATGAAATCACTTGCTCAAGGTCACATGGCCAGTAGATGGCATTCAAACCTAGCTCTTTCTGACTGCAGAACCCCACATCTGACCCCCAGTAAAAATAATTTTAGAGTATATCCTGACAGTCACATCCTACCACAGAAGTATACATAGAGTCTTTCCTTTAATATTTTTAAATTAATTTCTTCCTCTCATCCTCATTGCTTTTTGGAAGAACTATAATTCTCATTTACCAGAGCATCTTATACCTTGGTAGACAGAGTTACTTGTAGGCTTGAGTCCTAGGCTGACAAGATCAATATCTTAGCTCTGGAAATGAGGCTTAGAGGGGTTAACTGACCTTGGGTGCAAGATCACAAAGCTGATACATTGCTTGGATTCTGTCTGTAGCTCTACTTCTATCTGATCTCAGTTGTACTTGCTAAAAGTGGGCTCCGAAGTCATATTGCCTGAATTCGAATCCCGCTCTGCCATTTTTTATGTACTTGAGAAAGTCACCTAACCTCTCTGTGCCTAACTGTACTTACTTAATAGGTTGAGAACAAGGATTAAAGATTACATGTGTAAAGCCCGTAGGACATTGCCTGGCCTGCCGTATAAGTGCTCAGAGCGTGCTAGTATTGTCTTTTGGTGCCACTCACTGATTTGTTGTGAGGCTCTAGGCCAGAGGCAAGGACTCTGTGACGGTAGAACCATGCCTCTCTTCCAATCCTCCAGTGATTGCTGCCAGACCTTTCAGCATCCCCTACCTGACAGCTCTTCTTCCATCTGAGCTGGAGATGCAACAAATGGAAGAGACGGATTCCTCGGAGCAGGATGAGCAGACAGACACAGAGAACCTCACTCTTCACATCAGCACGGTGGGTCCCACCTTCTGCTTGCCTCGAAGTACCCCTAATACTAGCCCATCCCGCCCTCAACCCTGGGAATTGGACATGACCTAGCCCAGGTCTCTGGCTTTATGGTAGGGGCTTGCAGGATGAGTGCGTGATGATCCTGGTGTGACCTGGTCTCCAGCATGAGACACACGTTCATGTCCTGAGGATTCACTCATTCATTTAACAAATATTGGGTGAGCGCCTCCCAGGGCCAGGCATGGTTCCAGGTGCTGGGCAATTAGTAGGAATCAAAATAGCCAGAATTCCCTGCCCTCGTGGAGCTAAGGAAAAATAATAACTTAGGAGATAGGAAGAGAGTATGGGGAGAGGGAGGATGCGATACTAGGTAGGGTGACTGAGAAGGTGATGTTTGAGTAAAGACCTGAAGGGAACAAGGCTTGCACATATTTGGGGGTAGAGAATTACAAGCAGTGGGAAGAGCAGATGCAAAGGCCCTGAGGTTATAATTTACCTGTTGTGTTGAAGAACAAGGACTTCAGGGTGGCTAGAGTAGAGTGAACAAGGTGGGGAAAATAGTAGGGGGTCAGGTCAGAGAGCTCACAGGGGAGTCAGACCTTACAGGGTCTTAAAAGTTATATTGAGCACTTGGCTTTTGCTCATTAAGATGGGAGCCGCTGGAAATGCTGAGCGGACGAGGGTCGGGATCCAGTGTAGGTTTGTTGACAGGCTCAGTCACGTTGCTGTGCTAAGGATGGACTACGGAGGGGCAGGAGCAGGGAGACCAGGGAGGAGGCTGTTGCAGTGAACTGAGAAGCAATAGGAGGAGCGAAGAGAATGAGACATGGCCACATAGATTATTCGTCAGACTCTAGATCCTTTTCAGAGCAGGGCCAGCTACCAAAGTGGATGTGAGATGTGAGATTAAAAGATAACTGAAAGGTTTTTTTGCCTGAGCAAAAAAAGGAAAGATGGAGCTGTGTTCAGCCAAGACAAAAGACTTTTGGGTGGAACAGGTGTGTGGGGGAAAGCCAGGAGTTCAGGTTTCGACGTGTTAAATGTGAGATGCTTGTCAGACATCAAGGCAGTGATGTCAGGTAGAGAGCTGGATATCCAAGTGGGAGTTTGAGGCACACTTAGGGCCAGAGATGCATATTTGGGCATCAATAGTGTGTAAATAGCATTTAAAACCAGGAGAGTAGAGGAGCTCTCCCAGGGATGAGAGGACGAAAAGGAGCAGAGGCACACTGACTGAGCCCTGGGGCTGTCCACTTCGTCGAGGTTGAGATGAGGAGCAACCAGCCAAGAAGACAGAAGGCACAGCTAGGGAGGTGGGAGGAGAACCGGGAGAGGCTGTGCTCTGGAGGCCAAGGGAAGTAGGTGTTTCGGGCAAAAAAGAGTTAGATTTGGCAATGTGAATGTCATTCGTGGCCTTGATAAGAGCGATTTCTGTAAGAACGAGAGCAGGGGCCTGGAGAGAATTCAGAGAGAATGGGAGAAAAGATACTGGAGTGAGTATAGACTTGTGCTGTCCGGTACAATAGTAACCACTAGCCACATGTGGCTGTTTACATTTAAGTTAATTAAAATTAAATAAAACTAAAAAGCAGTTTCTTAGTCTCACTAGCCACATTTCAGGTGCCCAGTAGTGACATATGGCTTGGGGCTCCTAAACTGGACAGTGCAGACATTGAGCAGTTCCATCAGAGAAAGTTCTGCCGGACAACGCTTGTATAGACAAGCTGTGTTGAGGGGCTTTGCTGCAGAGGGAGGAAGGAGTGGTAACTAAAGGGGGAAAAATTAAGGAATTAAGAGAGGCGTTCTTGTGGTTTTTTTTTTTTTTTTAAGATAAAAGAAATAACAGCATGTTTGTATGCTGATAGGAATGATCTGGTTGAGAGGGAAAATGGATGCAGGAGAGAAAGAAACCTTTTGGGATGATGTCTTTTGGTCGGCAAGAGGGTACAGGCTAGTGCCCAGATGTAGCTGACTAACTTTCTTCTAGACATTTCATACCCAGGGAGGAGACAGAGTGTGGGTGCAGACACGAAGGTGGGTGGGGAGATGAGTGTTCTTTTCTGGGTACTGATGTGTCATGCTCAGCAAGTGAAAGGATAAGACCCCATTCTTGTTCCTGCATCTTGGGAGAAAGTGCCAGGCAGAGTCATGGAACTGTGGAACCTCTAATGCCTTCAAGGCTAACAGGGTCCTTAAGTGGTCAGGTTACCGTATTCAACTGTCCTTTAAAATCAGTCCTCGTTTTGATGCAAAGGATGCCTTAGTGGCTGCAGTGGGACTGAGTGTTCCTCCTGTTCTTTGAGATGCAGTGCGTCGAACGGCAGCCAGCTGCTCCAGTTTGCAGGGAGGCAGGTGGGGGGAGTGTGCCCGTGCCATCTCTAGCATTTGCTTTAAGTTGAATTATTCCTTTCAGAATTAGGGCTGGGAGCCCATGGCTTTAAATAAAGCAGAGGAACTTGTGATTCTACACTTGTGTTTCGGACTCAGTTCATTTGGGCTGAGACATGGTGATTGGGTGACGGACTAAGTCGAGGTTCACCTTATGAGGAGGAATCTTCTAAGCAGACGTCACCACACCTTTGTAAGTACAGAGTAGTTAAAGGGCTTGCAGATGTGCCCCAGCAGCAGTCCCGGTGGTGAAGTGAGGCTGGAGAGTGCCAGCGGCTACCTGAGGACTCCTGGTACCAAGAGGCTGAGCCAGGGTTATAGACAGCAAAGCCTAGAAAAGCCTGACTCTTGGGGTCAGACTGGCCTGGGTTCAAATCCAGGCCATGGCACTTGCCAGATGTGTGACTGATCGCGTCACCTAACATCTGAATCGGTTTCCTCTCAAGTCCAAGTGGGAACAGGAAGATACACCCCAAGGGGAAGGGGAAGCCCGAGATGCAAGGGGCTGCTGTCGAGTGCCTGGCACATGGCAGCCCCCGGCACACACTGCTCCCTCCCCTGCTGTTCTGGGCGGTATGAGCATATGCTCTTCCGTGAAAGATAAAATAAAAAAACTTCAAGACAAAGATTCTAGCAACAATTTATATACAGCCACTTGGACTTGTTATTTTGTTGGACTGAAAAATACAATCATATGTTTCAAAATTCAGAATGTGCAAAAAGATATATAGTGACAATTCTTCTCATCCCCCTGTCCTCCATTTTGCCTCCCACAAAGCAACTGTGTTGCCAGTCTCTTGTGTATCCTTCTAGAGACGTTTTTTATTGTTGTTTTCAACATGAACAGCAAGTCATGAGTGGTTCTCTCCTTGCCTTTACCTCCGTGGCTGTGTCTTGGCCATTATTCCATCTCTGGATGTGAGGAGCTTCTCCGGTCCTCACAGTGTCATCGCGCCCCCTGGGATGGATGTGACAGTTTAATTTATCTTGTCCCTGCGGACAGTTAGGTTGTTTTCTGTCTTTAGCATTTACCGACATTACAGTGAAATAAATAACCAGTAGTTTAAGTTATTTTTCTCTATAGATGACAGTGCATCGCTCAAGGACTTTTGCCAGGTAGTATTTGGTTTAATCTAGCTCTTGTTTCTTCATGTACTTGAACGTGAAGGAACTATTCATTTTAAATTAGCGTATAATAGAATTTTTTCTCATACATTTGAACTAGCTGTCTTCTGCAGGCAATCAAGATGTCTAAACTGTTATTCTTTTATGGAAAATGTACCAGTCATTCACTCAAGTATTTCTCCAGCACCTAGTATGTGCCAGATACTGTTCTGGTTGCTTGGGATAAAGCAGTGAGCAAAACCAAACCTCTGCCTTTTAGGAGCCCATGTTTGGCAGTGGAAGAACGACGATAAACATAGTATGTAAAGAAATCGTTATATAGTGTAGTAAAGATGAAGGTGCCATGGGAAAAAAGAAACCAGGGGAAGATCCAGGGTGAGGATGGAGGCTTCAGTGTTAATAGGGTGTGCCGGGTAGGAGCCACTGAGAAGGCGATGTCTGAGCGGAGACTGGAAGCAGGTGGGGGAGGGAGCCACACAGACGTGTGGGGAAGAGTGTTCTGGCAGAGGACATGGCCAGTGCAAAGGCCCTGAGGAACAGCGCGTGGCTGTGGTGGAGGGAGGTAGGGTGGGTCAGACCAGGTAGGGCCTTATAGGCCGTTTTAAGAGCTGGCTTTGAACTGAGTGAGATGGGAGTTGTGGGAGGGTGAGGAGCAGAAGAGGAACATTTCTGAACTTCTCAGAGCATCACTCTGATGGGCGTGGTGAGAATGGACTGGAGAAGGGAGCTCGGTCAGGAAGCTGTCGCAGTAGTCTAGGTGAGAGGCAATGGTGGGCCCTACCAGGGTGGTCTCAGCAGAGGCGGTGGAAGTGGTCAGAATCTGCCTGTATTTTGAAGGTCAGGCCAAGAGGATGTCCTAACAGAGGGGGTATGGGATGTCAGTGAAAGAAAAGAAGCATGCCAGGTGTGGTGGCACATGTGTAGTCCCAGCTACTTGGGAGGCCAAGGCAGGAGGATCACTTGAGCCCAGGA